ACAAATGAGTACTGACCCCTGATCAGATTCACACTGAACACTGAAGCACCTTTAGAGTACGGTTTATTCATTGCTTATTATATAGAAAATGCTACTCATTATTCATGGGTTCATTTGTACTTTCCAACTCCTTTCATATTCTGTGTCTATACACTTTTTCCATGTTTATTTTATTCTATATTCAAGTATTCTTCTTTCAAATTATTATTTATCATTAATTATTTTTCATTCAAATAAACTGAAGGATTAAAAGCTCTTCTGTGGATTTCTAGAAATTGGCAATAAATATGCATTGAATTATTACTGGAGCTTAAAACAAGGCTGTTTCTTAGATTTCATAAAAAAAGTATGGACAGTAACAATATAACTTTTACTCTGTACAGTATACATTTCCTTTGGGAAGGTCAGTTCAAACTATTGCAATGACTGTACTGCATCTTAATGTGAAGCAGGTCCTTTTATAAAAATAAACAGTTATATAGTATAGTAATTTTATAGTTTTCAACCAGATTTGGCCCTAAACATTAACTGTCCAAAACCATGGTTACTGGTAGTAGTGGCACAGTTAGTTGTAGTAGAAACTGTATAATGAATCAAAGGTCCGTTGTGTGGGATTTAGTGGCATCTAGTGGTGTACTTGCAAGTCCCTCGCTTCACCCTCCCATTCCAAGTGTGTAGGAGAAACTACAGTGGCTGCTAAACATGCAAAAAACGCACAATCCTACCTACAGCCAGGATTTGGTTCATTCTGTGCTACTGTAGAAACATGATGGTTCAACATGATGGTCTTTATAGAAGGCCATCCGCGGCGATTATTATATGCTAATAAAAACATACCTATGAATATTTTATTTCATTTCTGCCAATAGATCCTCCTCAATGTTACACACTGGACCTTTAAATGTCCGCTGTGTCTCGTTTTACTGGGCAGTTCCTGGGTATGAATGTTTTGGATGTTGCTTGGATGGATTATGGTTAGAACAATACCTACCTCATCCAACTTATCAGACTTCAGTGAGTTGTCTACCAGTATGTACGCATGCATTGCAGAAACCAGTGAGAAACACCTGGTTAATGTCAAATCCAGGTGTCTATGGAGCAGCTCAGTATTCACTTCTCCACTTCCTCTGACCTTATTTTGAACAAAGTCCGTATTTTAAGAGCATTTTATTGAAATGTGCTTCCCTTTTTTGTATGTGTACGATTCTTTGTGTATCCGAGTGCCTTGAGAGGACTGGCTCTGTAATGAGAGTACACAGTGTTTCCTTATGTGTCGGAATTTTACAAATATTCTCATGTCTAATGCTGAACTGCAGAGACATATTTAGACTTACAGAGACTGTGGGTGGGGCTTACAGCACTTAACATTTCTGATTGGTGGAGAACTCAGAGCATTTTATTTCAGTGACCATTTCTAAAAGTCTTGAGCCCAAAAACCAGTTTATTTGTTCATTGAGCTTCGACAAATCAAGAGTTACAGAAGAAAGCATACAACAGATGGACTGACAGCGATCATTGTGGACTAATCTGGCTAATCTCCCAGGTGTCTCTGCAGTGGAGACACAGAAATCAACGGCTGAAGGAACCTTTTAGTTCCTTGAAAAGTAGTGGGACTAAAAGTTCTTTGGATGGAAATGCATTTTTAATGAAAAAAGTTTCAAATTTGGTTGGACTTTAAACAACTTTTCGTGGAAAACATGGATGTATGTAATGATCTTTCCTTTCATTCCACCACATTGCTGTCACATACTGTCCCTGTTTGATGTCTTTGTCATGTCCACGCTTACCTGCAAAAACCCAATTAGAAACCCGATTATACATCACATCTGCTTTCTCCTGGAAGGATCTGGCCGAGGAAATCAGGTTCTTCTTATCCCCCTACCTCGATTACTGAAGAAATCTGCAGAAAGCAGACAGTAGCCAAAATGCATGTAAACACACTGACTGGTAATTTGACCCAGGCCGAACCCCTGAGGGGGAAAGCCTCTATCTCTCTGGCACATTTCCAGAAGTTATTTATTTCCTTGAGGAGGATGCACAAAATGCACTGCACAAAATTCAATGCTTCCATGTTATTGCTGTTTTTTATTTTTTTAGAGGCAGGTTGGCCTCACACTGAACTGAGAGCTTTAGGCTTATTCAACAGTTTGCTTTTGAATACAGAGCATTCCCTTCCTCTCATAGCGTATAAATCACATTTTGCTTAGAACAGTGGCAGGTCAATCCAATAAAACCCAGCTGGTGATGAATTTGCACACCTTTTTCCCATTCTGTCACGTAAAGTGTTCTAAAATATTGGAGCTCAAAGATTTTTTGTGTTTTGTTTAGGGAAAAGTCCCCTCACAGCAGTGTAAAAATAATAAAGAGCAAAACTAAAACTACCTATAGCGGCGGGCAGAGTGAACTGACAAGGCAATCCCCAGTGACTGCTTCTTGCTCCGCTCTCACGGATTGTTTACTTGATGAAATATACTGGTGGAATTACAACACTGCGAGCTACACACATGCATTGTTCCAAGGTTGTTCCCAAAGACTTCATTATGACTGTGCAGAGATTTACATAGATTTGAAAGCTGGTTAATGAATTTGTATTGTTGCAATTTTACGATAGAAGCAAACTTGACAATAAAATGCTTGAGCGTTTAAATCCATCTGCATTGTCCGCCGCTCCCTCATGATGTGGACCTGCTGTGAGGCGATAAGAAACGCCAGAACCGCTCTTGTCGTGATCAGCTTTGTCCTCGAGTTCGCAGTCAACCGCAGGGAGATCCGGGGGACACGAGGACATGGACGCAGCTGAGGCTCGGAGGGCGCCTGGGTGTAGATACAACGCGCTATCTCCGCCGCTCTCAGCGAAGTCAATCAGGGGACAGTGTAGATGGTCGTTAGTGATGGGCGGAACTCGCCGTCGTCATGGGGACAGGGCTGCGGCTGATAATTGGGCGTGGGGCTTGGCGGCAACAAAGCAACACGGCCTTAGTAATGAGATTAATGATGTTGTGTTAGGTCTTGTTTCACCAAGGAGAGGATTATCTCCTAACAGCCCTCCTAAGGTGAAGGAAAGGACAATTACTCAGACACAGATTCATCAGGCCCATTCCCTATACAGGCTGAGCTCGAAATGATGTTTCAGAGCTGGGTCAGGGCTCATTCCCACAGAAAAGAAAAAAGCAATTTACTCAAAAACTCTGCAACGAGCATTAAGGAAGTCAAAGTCAATTGTTTTCAACCTGAGTGTTGCAGAGTGAGCGTTATGGTGCTGCAAAGTTCAGATCGGCTCCTGATCAAACACCTCAGGGTGAATATAAATATGCTTCTTGTATGTGACCAACCAGACTGAGTAATGATGGGTTTCTTTGTCAGAGATGAGTCCTCCTAGATGAATTTTCTTGAGCTCTGCCCTCTTTGAACACAGGAAAAAATATTAATTACAAATGATCTCTGGACCATGTGAGGCTATTGCTTAAATGATGCACCGCTCCTCAAGCAAATCTCTCTCTGAGGGCCGTCAGACGCATTCAAAACGATATTCTGATGTTTTTCATGTTTGTCAAGATGGGTCCATGGAAAATCCCATGCAGGGAGGTTGAGTGCATCAGGAGGTGAAGGCAGTTTATTTAAGGCAATCGACTGTTTTTTTTTTTTTTGGTCAACGAACATTATTTATTCACAGCTGACTTCTGGGAATAGTTGCAGTCTCATCTCTGAACATATCGAGCTTTAAAGCCATTTACTGGTTTAAAGCTGGAGAGCGGTACACTCTTTACATAGAGATGAATGTCCGTTACATTCAAGCCCTTGCCCTAATGACTTCACACGATGCCAGGTAGCTCTCTGTATTTTGCAGTACACAGATTTTTTTGTTTGTGGTGACTTTCCCCTGCTGGAGCACCTGTATTGCTGCCAGTATTTTAAACCAAAAAGGGTGCATTTACTCACTGGAAGAGGCCCAGTCTGTCCTGAGAGTGACAGGGAGTCAAAAAGTATGTATTTCATACTTCACTTGCTCTACAGTATCAGATTACTCTCTAACTCTGTCCTCTAATTACTTCTCAGACTGCCCGGCTCCCTGGCTGACCCACAGTAGCAGTTGTTGGGGAATCACTGCTTGTCTAATAAATGGAAGAGGCCTCACTTGGACTGATATATTTTGGCTACTGGAATTCATTTGGAGTCATGTTTCTATTCACCTTACAAATGTAAATTTAATATTTGCTCTTTTAAAACAAATGAAGCTTGTTTGCTGCTATTTCTTGACTTTCCGTACCAGCTAGTTGCTAACTGCTATTTTCTCCTGAAATCAGCTGCCTGCTGTTTCTAGAAACAATGATAATTAGAACGGATCTTCCAGAACCTGATAACAAAACGCTAGCTATGTTTCCGTCCTGTATCGCAAATTTCAACCGAATTTCAAATAAATCAGCAAAAGAAAAATTTGAATGAATGCTTGTTTTCATCAACTTCCATTTAGGAGTTGGTTCATCAAGTTAAGCAGTAGGTGGTGCCAATTTTCCAGGTGGAAAACCAGAAGAAGAGGGAGCAACAAGATGACTTAATTAAAGAGCGCCAGTGGAAGCTCAGACTGTGACAAATAATGTTTGTTTCATGTATTAACCTGAGGAGCTGAGTTGTCATGAGTTAAATGTTTTCTACATCAGAACTTATTTGAAAAAAGTGTTTCCATCTCCCATTAAGCGCATCAAGGCAAAAACCACCGACTTTAAAATGCGTGTAAAAATATGATGATGGATATACAGCTAATAAGATCAAGGAAACCTCAAATGGCTCTGTTCCATAATTCTCTATAGTCATTTAATTTAAATTTGAATTTGTGCAGCTTTAAACATAGCATAAAACAATGAATTATTTAGTTTGCCTTAAACAACTACAGCTCCCATGAGCTTCAGAGCGGGCATACATGAAGAACGTAAAGCCAGTAGAACTGAAGTGCGGTGGAACATCGACTCCCTGTTGTATTAGAAATAGTCTGAAAATCACAGTTGCAGTCACACACAGACAAACGTTCCTTTATTGTGTATTTATGGACAGTTTGCACATTTATCATTAGCAACAAGGATGATTCATCAACTGTAATAAAACCTCTCAGAGTTGTATTATTTGGAAAACAAATGAGTATGAATAAATAATGAAATGTGAATAATCTGTTGTTTTTTTTCTTCCTTTCAGTGACTGAACTTGCTGTATACATTATAAATCAATTCATCTAGCAAAAACATATCCTAACTTTATAAAATATGGGTTTTCAGTTCAAGTCCAGTGTCTTCAAAAGCGTCCTAAAGAAAAAAAGAAATCTTTTGAAACCAGTAGTGAAATGCCACTATGATACATATTCAAGAAATATCATGAGGTTCTTCTCTAATAAAAACTGACATCAATCATCTAGAGGAAAAACCTACCGAGGTGCACAAGAAAAAGACATTCTCTTGATGGCACGGAGGGGGGGGGAGGGGTATAAATTGGGGCTGATTATGTATTTTTGAGAGCGTTTAGATATAAACATTCTACTTACATGTTCTTCTTCACCTTTTCATCAACACTGAGGCAAACAGTGTAATCACATTAAATCAGAAGTAACACTTTATTTTACAGTCTGCGTAGCTAATGTGTACTTTATTCCCAGCATTCACACAAAAGACGTGTTCCGATATGTACTCTGGGGTACAGAATTAATGCACTGAAATAGTATTAGTGCTGACGTTGATCCCAAAACATCCACTGAATTAAACAGGCTTCTGTACCATTTTGTTCATAAATGCCAAGAGGATAAGAGGGCTTTCAGGTGTAACACACCCTCCCAGCAAAATATTACTCAGATGTTGTAACGACAATTTGGGTATATATGTCTAATTTTGGTTGAAAGCTAAAAAGACTATATTTATATTGGGTTAATTATTGGGTTAATTAAGGATTAATATTTAAGGGGAAATTTAAGGTAATATAAAAATGTACAATATTTTGTGGGTTTGGCAGTTATGGGCTGCTTTAGAATTCATTGACCATTATTATATTAAGCCAACACCTTGTGCAGCCATGTCGTCGGCCTTGGACAATCATTGTAAAGACATTTGTCTGATTTTTTTTTTTTTTTTCACAAACACATCTGTTTCAAATCAAAACAATTGAGATATTTCAGCAGCAGTTAGCTAACACATCAATATCTACTTGGCTAATTAGCAATCTGCTGTTGTACAGCTAGCTTACATACTAACTCATTTAGTAGAAGCTAGAGTTAGCACCTAGTTGTCAGTTAACATTAATACCAGCTGTTTTGCTTAATAGGAGCTTGCTGCCAGCTACTGATGCTACTGCAAAATGTTAACCGATGTTCATTTTGGCCACCATACTTTTCAAACACATTTTTGACACACAGGATCTTCCATATATGTGTCAAAAATGCCTTTCAGCTACATGAAAATGTATTTCTGTGTCTGAAAGTAATAAAGGAAAAGTGTGTATCCTGTCATGCCTTGAGAAGTATTGATTGTAATATATTAAATAATATATTTGAAATAGATTATTTTTAAATATATTTGAACTAGAGAAACAGAAGAACTAAAAGAGTTTGACAAAATAATCTTAACTCAGGGTCAACTTACTAGCTTGTTCTGTTCTCAACCACATCTCACATTCTTCACCAGCTCAGTTAGCTCAGTTGCCATACACTGAGTAGTCAAACATAGGCCTACTGTGGGAGTAAGTGAACCTTTAGTAAAGATTAATTTAACTACAATTGCAAAGATCAAAATAAACTTTACCAGGAAAAACTGAAATAGATCTACAATACTTGAAGTGAATTTAAAATATATTTGCTATACATTTAAACCTGCATTTGAAATACCAGTGCATTAGGAATAAGAGGTATAACAACAAATCCCCAAATATACTGAAAATGCATCAGATGTAATATTTTTCACAGTATTTGAAATGGCCAAAATAGTTGTGTATACATATTTAAACACATACTTTATGTAATTTACATATAGTTTCTTCTCAGTTTACTTAAATTTGGAGAAAGAAATGTAATGAGGGAGCTACTTAAAACCCTAATGAATGTGAGATATCTCTTTTTCTCCTTGGGTTTTATAGTTAGTCATTATTTATCATATCATATTTTCAAACAGCTAATTCTTTACGAGACCAACCCTGTGGCTCCGGCTGTGGCTGAGAGGAGATTTGTGACACGACTGCAAAGCCTCTCCAAACACAGAGAGATTGTAGAATAAAGTGCACTGTAACTGAATCACACACTTCTTCCAAGTACAGTAGTTGTGCGCTGCGCAGATTCAAAACTGGGCAGAGGGCTCCAGGGCTCTCCTGGGGTCATTCATCAAGGTTGGACGGCGGAGAAATGTGCCTGTTGTTGGTATTAATAGCCTGGGGTGAAATAGGTCTTCTCCGCTGCGGAGACGATCTGGCAACTCGGGTGAGCCCTATCTCACTTTTCTCCACTTTTTCTGTGACGCGAGCCTCATTCTGGGCCTCGTTCTCCTCAAGCTGGTACTGCAGGAGAGGCAGCGAGTGTCATCAGAATATTTGAAAACACCCCCCCATCCCCACCCCCCACCCTCTACATCACTCCATGTACTCTTGCTATTGCCCGGTTCAGTAAATCATATCTCTCTGATAAATTCATGATTGATAAATTATCTTCTCTTTGTAGACAATAAAATTAAAATAATTTGTGGTAATTAAGGCAGTCTTTCCATTTATAAACAAGACGTTTAAACTCAGAAAATGCAATCAGATAGGAAAAAAAATGAAAGGTCAGACTTGTCCTGTAGAAGTCATGTTAACTTGCTCCACAGTTAAAACCTTTCACGTTTTGTTCTTCAATTTCTTGAGGAAAAAGTCTTGTAAAGTTCCCACATATTTTCTTCTCCTGTTTCTCAGACCATCTTAAATTCCACGGAGTCCCTTTTAGACCTTGTAGAAGCCTGGGTTTCTAGATTTCAGCATACAGAAACCTCTGCGTTGGAGTTATACGTGCACAGACGGCACACTCTTGTTGAGGACCTGCGCCCTCATCAGCTGGACGCTAGTCATGATCTTCTTCTGGTGGCCCATCAGCGTCACCCCGAGCCTCTGGATGTCCCTGCATGATACACACAGAAAGTAGAAATTTAGTGATCTATGATGGCCTTAATGCTGTTTTAGTCTCAAATTTGAGAGAAGCATACTGTAAACTGTCAGATAATGGCCTTTATTCACAACAGGCTTCTATTAATGAGAGGCCTGTATTACCCACATTTTTAAGAATATTTCCCAATAGTTACTAGGAATGCAGAATAATTATTAGGGGCAATCAATTACTGACAGATGAATAATAATAATAATAATAATTAATAATAATAATAATAATATAAGGAAGAAGAAGAAGAAGAAGAAGAAGAAGAAGAAGAAGAAATGTATACTATTATGAATTATTCCAATAATTAAATTACATCATTTATTTTGAATTCTTATGCAAAATGTCTGATTGACTTCATGTTCTTTGTATATTTCTGAAGTTTTTTGATGAAACATTTAAAGAGTCAAAACTGTTGTTTGTTTTTGTTGTGTTATCAGCAGTGATGTCACTTAGATTTGGTTTGATCAGAGCTATGGAATAAAACATAATCCATCTTTATAGCCTTTCAAGTTTATGAAAAGCAGGTACTTATTGGTTATCGTATCATCTGAAAAAATTCCATATCATGCATCCTTAATAATTACTTTCTTTTCTGATCACATTCAGGATAATGTACATTTCCACAGCATCAGTATAATACATAACACTATCTACTTTTTGCCTACTACTAGCCATATCAACTTAAAAGGTGATGACAGGTCAGGTTTTTTCTACTGCACCCCACATGGCCAAAAAAAAATCTGTTATTGCAGCTTCAAACAGCTTACAGTGTAAATATGGACAGGAAATGATGAGAGAGAGAAAGGGGAATGTGCAACATAAGGCCCCAGCTAAAACTGAAAGGCACATTGCAATCACATGGTTTGCATTCTAGCCACCAGACTACTGGTTCTCAACCTCTCTGCTGTCAAGGACCTCCAGATTGATGCATATCAGGCAGCAGATCTGTATTTGATAAGATGTAGTCTCAGAGCCGCCTGTCTGATGAGATTTAGTAATTCCATAACTGTCTGTACTGGGACTCAAAGGACATAACCCTTCTCTGACAGGCCTTTTGATGTGAAATACATAGCTGCAGGAACTGTTGCTCTTCACTGACAGTAGCTTGACACCAATCAAAATATCAGCAAAGTAAAAGCAGTTAGTTAGAGTAACAGATTGGTGAGTAATCCCAACCCTCACACCCCATTTCTTCTTTTTACCCAAGTACAAGGTAGTGTCCAGCACTAATGAATATTTTCTTAATATATTAATTATTTGAGACTCTGCCTGTATTTGGATACCAGATTTTATTTGAGGCACAACTCACAATTTTCTGCAAGAGGATCAAAGTCATTTACTTTCACATTATGGGGGAGCTGTGGTCATGTTGTGTGCGATGATAGCTGTGACGGACGGACTTGAAGGCAGATTGGAATGACCCCTGGCTCAGATATAAAGGTATGTAGGAGGGTTTATTGTGTTTGTGACTGAGCTCAATGGAAGAAGCTCATTCGATGGAGACAGGAGGGGGTGAATAAGGAAGAAAATGAGCGGTGCAAAACTGATTTTATCTATTTTTCTGAGATTTACTTGGAGCAGTTTGATAATGATCCAAGCGTGCAGACAACTCCTCACCCTTCTTCTATTCCTTAAGCTGGCAAAGCCCTACCAGCAGTTATCACTCTCCATTATGGTCAGTACTTACCCTTGGTTCATGCCTATGACGTGTCCCAGAGTGTGGTACCCCCCTGCTGCAAAGTGGTCCTTGTAGCGGCTCATCTTTATGGTGTCCAGCCACTCGTTCACTGAGTTACAGCTACTGAAGTCTGGGATGGCTCTGTCCATCAGTGGAGGACTGTTTAAACTGCGGCCGAGAGAGAGATAGATGGCAACAGATAGGCAGAGATAGAGAGAGGAAGATGAATGGGAAGACGAAAAGATTAGTTGGAGGGAGCCCGAAAACCAGAAAAGAGTCAAAAAGTGAGCAAGAGGCAGTGCCACTGGGGGGAAAAGGCGGGGGGGTGGGCTTTGAAATGCGCTAGTAGCTGAGGCAGAAAATCAATAGCAGTTAAAATGATAGAGAAGAGGTGACTGCTGTGGTTGCAGGATGGCTGCTTTGGGTAGATTAATACAGGGAGAAATCCCTAACACTCCTCCTCCTCTTCTCCCTCTTCCTCTACCTACTACTCCTCTCACCTCACGCACACAGCGCCATGCACCACCGACTCCACAGGACTCTGGGATCTGAACAGAGCAATTTACACGGGTCCAGCTTCAGCCCGGGTGTCCTCTCAAACTGCTCCCAGATCCACCGCGGATCAATGTCAATATCACAGCTAGGCTTTTACTTAACACACAACGCGTCCATCAGAGATGAGCTTATCGGAAAACGAACACGACCGCTCGCTTCATCTGCCAGAGAACTTTGAGGGAAACTTTAGGCTGCAACTTTATCCCACTGTGCTCATGTTTGATAGCAGCTGGATGAGATTGGATTTACTCTGCCTCCCACACCAGGACAGTTACTTAGTAGCCTAACAGTCTGTCACCATATATTGTCCAGGAGATCATCTTCTCAGCCCCTCGCAGACAGTGCCTTGCTTTGATTTGCAGCTTAATCCGCTAATCACATGAACCGATATTTGATTAAATGTTGGCGAACTGTCACGCCAAATTAAATCAAAAAGAGTCCTCGGCATGTGACACAACGCACCCCTGCCGCGTCGCTGTAAATGTGGATGCATTCAGCGGCCCACCCACCTGCAGAGTGTGTCCATGGACTTCAGGTTCTCCGGGTTGCGGATTAGCTTGTCAAGAACGGTGACTATCTGGCAAAAGCGCGGCCTCTCGCTGCGATCCTTCTGCCAGCAGTCCAGCATGAGAGTGTGTAGAGCAGCAGGGCAGCCCATAGGAGCAGGCAGCCTGTAGCCCTCTTCCACAGATTTGATCACCTGCACATGTACAGCAAAATATAGATGAGACTACAGCGTCTGCTATGAAATTACACTGAAGGTCAATTATGGTTAACAAATAGTGCTCACATCTCTGTTGGTGAGGTTCCAGTATGGTCGCTCTCCGTAGGACATCACCTCCCACATGACCACTCCGTAGCTCCACACGTCACTGGAGGAGGAGAACTTCCTGTAGGCGATGGCCTCCGGGGCGGTCCAGCGGATTGGAATTTTCCCGCCCTGGTAGGAACATAAAGACGTTTGACCGGGTTGTGTCAGACTTTCTGAGACAGATTTAGAAGACAGAGATCAATCATGGTCACAGTCTCACTATATTCTCAACAAATCCCATGAAATGACCAAAACCAAGTATTATGTGTGTATTAAAGTCTGATATATCTTCTTCCTCTGTACCCTGTCGCACTGGGTGACATGTTCCTTCATTACCATAAACACAGACACTGGAGTTTATTTTGACTCAATCCAATACACACTGTCCTGCTGCCCCCAAATACTCACTAGAGCACCAATTGTGGATTTATCCACAGCAGAAAATAGTCCCCAACAAATGCACTATTTCTTCCTGTTTGACTGTCACTGACAATAAGTTGCGTTGGTGTTTTTTGTCTTTTCCTGGGATTTGTTAACAATAAGAACGATGTAGAATAATTCTGGCCTTATCCTTTAAATCAAGGTGGGGAACTCCGCAGCCTCAACATTTACTGTACCTGAGAGTTAGACTTGAGAAAGGCAGGGCTCGCTCGTAGTGAGGAACTCACGGAAAATCACATGACTTCAAAGTTAATGTCAGGTGGAGCATTTTTATATCTTTTAGCTCACTATTTTGGTTTCATGGCCTGGTGATACCCCAATCTAAAAATACCCCAGTACAAGTACAGAAGTATTATCAGCAAAATGCTGTTACAATAACAAAAGCAAAAGTACTGCAGTAAGGCTCCAATAATACTGTTATCATGTACATACAGTATGTATTGTGTTAACATAACTGATATCTGACATCACAATAACAAAACAAGTAGATTGAGGACATTGTGAAGTATCATGGGATCATGGGAGTTGTTGTCAACCACAGTTGCTGATGAAAATCTATCTCACATGACACAATTTGTTCATTGGCCACACGTTCGCTGACTTCCTTCCTCACTCTGACGTATCCTGTATTTACCTGGAAATTATAGCAGCTAGAGGGGGTAAAGGGGACACGACGCCACTGGCAGGCACCCAAATAAAACGCACTGTTCCCACTCTTGGAAACATTTGGGATAATGCAAAATTAAGTAACACAAACACAATTTTGTAATTTAATAAAAGATTCTTGATTAAGTAGCTTTTACTAGTGATTTAAGTATAAATTAAACTCCTGATTAAGTACTTTTTAATAGGTATTTTGTTTTCACAGTGCAAATAAAAATGACCAAATTAAGTCAATGTCACTTAAATTTACTAAAGCTACTTCATTTTTTTAAACTTACAAAATCAAGTTGGTTTTACTTTTTCGATGTCATCAATTTCAAGTTAATACATTTTTGAGTTGAATGAACTTATCTGGTTTTACAGTGATATATTTAATGTGTACAGCATTTAAATGTTACAGCTAGTGAAAGTAGCTAATTAGAACTTTATACATCTACTATATAGTACTATCTAAAGTTGGTACAACGTACAGTACTTACCACCACTGAGTAAACGTACATGAAAGCATAAAGCTAAATGACACACTGTGGTTAAATGACTGCACAGAGGCAGTGTGAGCATGTGTTGCAGGCCGAGACGAGAATAGACTTGCAAATGTTAGCAAGTATGTGAACTACTTACATTATTCTTGATATAAAACTGACACTTTAATTAGGTTGACAAATGGATACATCACTTCTTAAACAAACAAAGCACTCCCTGTGGGTTATTTTAAACATTTGAAGGTTACTCTCAAAAAGTAGCCCATTAGACACCTGATGTCCTGCTAAACATTTAACCCAGTGGAATGATCTAACCTTAACTCATGATCTCAGTACTTTTAGGTTCTTCAAAGTGACTTTTCTGTCAGATCCAGCAGAATAGGCAGCTTTATACACAGATTTCCAGGCAGCGACGTGAACCGTATTAATCCTCAGCCATTATCCGCCATTAATTCAAGATGTGCTGTAATGATGCTATAGTGTCTGTAATATCATCATCTACATCATCTGAGTGATGCTGCAGGTAATCACCTTGCTTTCTGTTATCTGATTGCTGTGCTTTAACAGACTGTAACAGACAGATGTGTCGGATGCTGATCCCCATCTGTGTGCTGTGAGCTGATAGCATCAGACTCTGAGCTGCCTTTTTTTTTTGTTAAGACTTAATACGTTTGTTCCCATCAGGCTGCAGGTTTAATATTGGGCCGCTCTCTACTGGAACACTTACAAAGATGATTTTACTTTGCTCTCGCTTCCATGTGCCTTTGATTGTGTTTGTATTGCTTTTGTGCAGTTGTGTTTGTCTTGTCTTGTCTTGCTACTATCTTGGCAAGATTTCAGAAGAGCTGCCTTCTTCTATAAAGGTTATGTAAGAATAACAACTACATTTTTACTTGTCAGTTAAATTAAAAAAATATGAAGACATGCATTTTCCCAAACGTAATCTGAAGGCTGTAACGTCATTCTGGCCAGAGAGAGCTAAACTTTAACGTTTTTAGATTTTATATTTTGGTCCATTTTGTTATCTTTTGGCATGCACTTAACTCACTTCAATTCAATTTTTTTTACATTGCGCCAAATCATAACAGAAGGAATCTCAGAACACTTCTCATATGGAGTGGGTCTAGACCGTACCTACTAACGTAAAATTTGATTTTATTAAATTTTATTGACGTGATCTTAAATGATTGGTGTGGTCTGAGGTTCAAAATATGAAACACTTACTGTTAAAGATGGAACTCTGGTAATTTTATATATATAGTTTACTCATCTTAAGGAGCACTACTCAGTTACATCACGTCTTCAGTGGCCCTGGAGGAGCTTTCTAAAGTCTGAGTAAATGACACTGATGATATCATAATGACCCCACCAGGGTCATCTCGGCCTGAGCTTGAGGAACAGAAAGCCAGGGTTACAAACTTGGGGTGTGGAGTTTGACTGGGATGCACCAGTCAGGTCTATTGGATCAGTATTGGCTCAGATACTGACTCACCGATCGATCACTGATCCACATTAAAACCACTGATGTTACTCCTCAATAAATGCATGTTAATGTGCAGGTCGGTGGTAGGGCTTCAGTGTTAAACCAGAAGTGTAATTTGTGGTGAACACAGTTGACATACTTCTTGTCAGCAGGGCATATTGAATCATAACATCGATAAAGTTAGATTTTACTACAGGTTTAACACAGCTTGATTGAGGAGAGTAGCTAATAAAACAAGGACCAATATTATATATTCATAATGGCAAAATTCTAGTTACAGGAGTACAAAAGCCCACCCTGGATAAGCTCTTTAATGGCAGTTTAGTACAATGGTTCTCAAACTGTGATGTGGGTCCCTGAACTAAAGCTGAATGAATGTGATTTATGTAGGGAAAGTTCCCTGGTTGTCTGTCTATATAAGCAGCTTGTGGTGGGAAAAAAAGAACAAAAAAAGCAAGCCCATCTCTGCCCTTCTGTTATTTTGTTTGCTGTACTGGTGGTATTATGGGAAATGTTGCATCCAGTGTTTTGGAGCTTTCACCCAAACTAGAATCTAAAAGTCAGTATATCTTTTGCTGCTTCAGTTTTTACTACTTTTACCCTCTTTTGCGAGTCTCACATTTTTATAGAAGTGCATTAATAAATCGCTGGAGTGCCCTTTAAAAGTCTGCATACGGCTTCCTCGCTTTATGAAACACGTGATCGTCCTTCTCAAAGTAAACGTGACGCTACAGCTGCAACTTTGACATATGATGTTTTTACTATAAGTGGAGACGTTCATTCACCATCATTCTCTGTGTTAGTGAACATTTTAAATTGTAGTTCAGTCAGACAACTCACGTTTGAAATGTTTATTACAGCAGTATAGCATATTTAGATTTTGGCGTCTAGGCTCTGACCTCATCACTCCCCGCAGATATGTTTATATAGAAATATTGGGGAGTGATGCACAAATACCTCAACCCCTAGTCGGAGCCTACAGGTGGATGCTGGGGTGGTGGTGGGGCTTACAGCGCAGCAGGTAGCAATAGCTTACAGCGATGTGATGCAAGGCAACAGCGGCATTGACAGAGCAGAGGGAGAGCTGGGAAATTGTGCAGTTTAAATAGACTGCCAGATTGGAAGGGTACATTTGGTTAGTGATTATGGAATAAGCGCAGCTCGAGTTGACTGGCTAGCTCGCAGGCTTCTCTCCATTTGTTTTTCTTAGTCCATTAACACTTGATTGCTGCTCCCTGACACTGACCATTTCTTTTAACAAATTACATGCGTGTGTCTGAATGTGTGTGTGTGTGTGTGTGTGTGTGTGTGTGTGTGTGTGTGTGTGTGTGTTTACTGCATTAATGCTTGCCTCAATGTGAAAACTCACACTGGTGGTGTATGCAGCGTCGGGGTCATCCTCCAGTACTCGGGACAGGCCGAAGTCAGACACCTTACACACCAGGTTGCTGTTGACCAGGATGTTGCGGGCAGCCAGGTCTCTGTGGATGTAGCCCAGGTCAGACAGGTAGGTCATGCCAGCCGCGATGCCGCGCAGCAAGCCGACCAGCTGGATGATGGTGAACTGGCCATCGTGTCTCTATGGGAAGAGCAGAAAAGAAAAGGGAAAAGAAAGATCAGGAAGGAGGAGGCGGAGAGAGAGAGTTTTAAGGGCAGATCGAAAAACGTGATGGTATAGCAGCAGAAAAGATGAGGAGAGTGATAAAACATGAGATTTTAATCAAGATAGAGAAGAGAGTAAAGATAAGAGAATAAAACATGACAGGGATTTGCTTTTAAGTAATAATCTGCAGTATTTTCATATAAGCAAATACTGGAGCTGTTTGACATTGTCGATGTAATACGATGTTAAATCAACTTATATCTTGTTAAAGAAAACTTTCAGATTTGCTGCTCTGAACCACTGCTGCCTTTCTCCCGGCAACAATACTCTGACACACAGCAAGTGATGTCGCTCTACTGTGGAAACCACGCAAGTTACATTTCATACATTTTCACGAGAGAATTCCGTCCTTTTTGGTGTATCAAGAAAAAACGAACCCAAAACCTTTTGTACATTTTTGGCAGTTGTAGCTTAACAGAGGAGGAAAAGATTACCACTTACTCATTGACAAACTCAAAAAGCACTTCAGCTTATACATAGGATATTTAAAACCCTGATATAGGAACAAAGAACTATTTGCTATGTAAAGTGGGCGGCTGTGGCTCAGAGGCAGAGCGGGTCGTTCCTTAGTTGGAAGGTTGTTGGTTCGATCCCCGGCTCCTGGTGCCACATGTCGAAGTATCCTTGAGCAAGATACTGAACCCTGAGTTGCTGTGAATGTGTATGAATGCATTAGTTTCTGTTTGATGGACTTTGCTGTGTGTGTGAAAGGGTGAATGTGGCACGTAGTGTAAAAGGGCTTTGAGTGGTCGGAAGACTAGAAAGGTGCTATACAAGAACAGGTCCATTTACCATTTAAAGATAAAATGGAGTTATTGTGTCTTGAGGAGAGAATGATGTCACACTCCCTCTGCCTGTGTTGCTATCGCATTCTCTCTGTGGGTTGTTAACATAGCCAGTCTGGCCGTGGGTGCATGTTAGTGCTGAGTCACTCCATTTCTGACTATGCAGAGCAACTGAAACTGCTGTTTTTCTCATCTTTGTTTGTGAATTAAGGATTTATTTTAACCAAACCAGAGTCGGTGATTGTTTGTAGACAGTAGAAAGACTAACAAAGTTTTGTTTCTGTCCACTTTGAATGATGTTATGATATGTGAGGTAAAATGATTGTTTTTGTCTATGGAGTGTTGTGGCAAACAAATGCAATATTACAGCTGTTTGTTTTTAAACAAAAGGTCACTCTGCAGGGATCCTTTCCATAATGTTGTCAGACACTTAGAATAACAATCTGAGCCTGTCAGTGGCAACAACACGCACTTTTAGTGGACATTCTTTGACCGGTGCATTAGCTAACATTATTTGGCAGCCAGAGCAGCCCATTTCACAGCTATTTTCTCATCTAACTCAGAATTGAGGGTTTATTTTGACCAAACCAATGTTGGTAAATGTTGGAAAGACTAACAAAGGTCGGTCGAAGTGCCCATTGTTGGTCTGAGATGCTGGAGCACTAGTGCAACACCTAGTGGCAAGTGAATTTCATTTATACAACCATTAACACTACAGAAACAATTAAACAAAATGAAAAGCAAACAGGGACCTTTACTGCTTAAATTCCCTTCCAGCAAAAGCTTTGATACTGACCCTGAGGAAGGAGTCCAGAGAGCCGTTCTCCATGTACTCCGTAATGATCATCACTGGTTTGCCTGAGGAAACAAACAGGAACCTTCAGAAGTCTTTCCATGCTGAAGTGCATATCTACAGGATGTACACGATGTGTACTCATGTACACGCATGTTCAACACTGGTTAAGTGCCTTGATTGGACTGTTTTAGCAGATTTTTCCCTTGACTTAAAGGGCTAGTTCACCCAAACCACAAAAACATACAATATTTTTTTAACAGTACAGAAGAACTGATAAACTGTACAATGAACACAATAGTGTTATAGTTCTAGGAGATTATTTCCTGTGAATATTACAGAGATGAGCTTTCCAGATATTTTTAGGATCTTTTATAAGAGTTCTGTCTTTTTTTTAACAATCATACAATAGGCTTCTTTTTTTGACAAATGCAGTGTATTCTTCTCCCTGACACTTTGCCATTGTTCTTTTAGCTCTAATGCTTTTCTAATGCAGGACGAGGCTGTTTATCAGAGTGAAGGCTCTGTGAATATAGCTTGTGTTCAGGTCTTCAAAGTTTAGATCTTAAATAATAATATCAACTTTAAAAATGTTTGTTTTCTTCACAGAAATGAATGTAATGCTGAGATATAGGCCTACTACTGTGTATATAGTTTTGTTTTCTTACACCCCTTAAAACTATAGTAGGAAGTTATTATGAAAATAACTTTTTGTCATATTTGCTGAAACTTTCACTACATCCTGACAGTAGAACATCAGACAGATAACCTGTGAAAAAATGGCAACAATATACCTGGCCTGAACAAAAACAACCAATCAGAGCTGAGAAAGATAGAAAGACACTTTGGGCTGGTGGCTTCAAGAGAGGTGATTGTTGAGTCTCATTCCAAGCATCAATATTAGACAACCTGGAAATGTGACACTTTCTTGGCTCTGATTGGTTGTCAGGTCATAGTGCAAGTCAGGATATAGTGAAAGTTTCAGCAAATATGACAAAAAGGGTTAGGGTTTAAAAATAACCCACTGCAGCTTTAAAATCAAGAAGGGCTTGTGACCCTTCATTAAGCTTTTGGGGGTCCCGACCCCTAGGTTGGGAGCCACTGATTCATACTACATGCTAAATAATAAAGCAGGGTCTGAGTATGTAGTGTGTGCACTAGAAAAGTGACAAAATTGGATATACTCAAAATGTCAGTAGAAGGTCATACTAAAAAACACTTTTTAATTTTTTAATGTGCTGTTGGTGTAGACTATTGTCCCACAATGCAATGCACAACAGATTAAAAACAAAACAAAAAACAAACATCTTCAGAAAGTCTGTTTTCTATCTCTTTGTTTAACGGACGGTGGCATTCTATGTTTACACATATAATTTCTTCTTAGGATCAAACAGTGAATATGTTGATATTTTGTATAAAACTCTGTCAGTAGAATAAAACCACTGTAGTAGAAAAATTATTACATAATTATGGAAATGGGACACAGCATGAGACAATGCAATTCGAGGTACTTCCATTAAGCAATGGCAGTAGTACTGTGGTATAAAATCATTCTCAATGCCCCACAAAAAGATGCTCGGAGTAAGTTATCTAAATGATAAATGATGATGATAAATTGTGCCAACTGACTCTTTAAAGTGTTCTGGAAACAATCTTTAATGGTTAGGAGGTGGTGTAATGTAATTGTTACCAGTATTACCACCCTAGTACAGACTCTTTTACACTCCCAGTAAAAAAGTCCAATGTGATTTGAGTTACCCCAGAAATGTTATGCCATTTTCATAATCTTATCCTGTCTCCTCATGAGCTTAGAGGTACTTGAGTCCACCTCAGAATAATTATGGGCTCACTTCAGCTAAAAACTGACTGAATATCCTAAATTATAAGTCAAAAGAAGTACCCTCAAGTTTTAAAATTTGTGACACCTTTACACACATCTATAGCCTATGTGGCATTACACATTCAGTAGATGAGGCTTTATACATGTATGTAGCCTAAAAACATTTTTACTGTAAATTATGCACATGCTCATTAACATTCCAGATTTTCAGTTATAACTGTTATTTTGTGGTCAATAATCCTGAAAACGGCTTTACAGTAATATATAGCTTTAGCGGTAGCGTACTCTGGGTTACCACTCCCTCCAGGCGGATGACGTTCGGGTGGTCGAATTGGGCCATGATGGACGCCTCGGCCAGGAAGTCCCTCTTCTGCTTCTCTGTGTATCCTGCCTTCAGCGTCTTAAGGGCCACTGGGATGTCTCTCTTCCCTGGGAGTCTCATACGTCCATAACACACCTCCCCAAACTCCCCTAAACACAGACACGAAAAGTGATTCAGCACGGAATACATTTAACCATCAGTTTTATTCCACCATATTCAACATTACTGTGCTCAGCTGCACCCTCCACCCCTCTTAAGCCATGGTTATAAATAAAAACTACAGCTGAATAGGGTAGACATTTTAACTAACAGATACCTCCATGAAACGTATTAGTTTTCTGAAATTTTTTACCATGTTTTTAGGAAACAAAATGTAATATAAATCAGGTTTTAAATGATATATGAATAAACTAGGAATAAAAATATAAGCTTTGAAGTAGTGTGTATTGTAAAATTCCATATATTTTGCAAGACACTACAGGTGTTTAGGGTAAAAGTTAAAACATTTTATATTTAAATATGCAAGTGAGGCATTATCTGATGATAACTTGTGGTGAATTTAGGAGGAAAATATACGTACGTAAAGAGACAAAGTGAAGTAAACACTTAAATGTGTATTTTGGGCGTTTTCTTTCCACTAGTCTGAAAGACGAGATGTTATGGAAGCAAAAAAAGCCCCAAATCTCAAAATTGACCAGTGCCTGAGAAAACATGATTTTGCCTGTAGTGTCTGGCCTTAATTTGCGAGGTTAGATAAGAGAAACGAATCCACTTACAGGCTGTCTGTCTATGTATATGTGTGCAGCACTGGAAGTAAGCTCCATTAGCCTCTTTCTCATTACCTCTTATCATGTGTGATTGCTGTTATTTGTCTTCCTCACCTTTATACTTCATATTTCTCTGTATGTGTGTGGGAGTCATATCTAGCACGGCGTATTGTAGAGCTGACACAGTGTTAGTATTCCCGGCCTGTCTGAGGAGCTTTGATTGACAGTCCCACGCAACGCTCTGATTCCGCTCTGCCATCCTCCTCTCTGCTGCACACCACAGCCTTTACACTGGCCAATGATTTTAAGTTAGCTCAGCCAATGATTTTCACTCTGTGTGTGTATGCGTGTGTGTGTGTGTGTGTGTGTGTGTGTGTGTGTGTGTGTGTGTGTGTGTGTGTGTGAGAGAGAGTCGGCACACAGGTTCATGGTTTTACCTGAACCAATGATTTTCTCTATTTTGATCCTGGAAGCTTCAATTTCTCGGGCAAACTCGTGGACCGCCTGGCAGGGGTCCTCGTATGTGTGTGGGTCGATATAGAACCTCGCGTCGGGGAATGACACTAAGATAAACAACATTAGCATTTGGTCACATATCGGGAGAATGAGAGCAACATCACATCTGAGCCCCTGTCACCGGTGTGTACAGGGAGGAACTTGATGAAAGGGAAGAAATGATGCAGACAGAGAGAGGGAGAGAATAAACAGCATGCAGGGAAGGAGGCCTGCGTGCTCCTGTAATCACTCGGAGCGAGATGAAAATGTTTCGCTCTAAGGATGAACTTTATCACGGAGGGATGAAAATACGACCTCTTCTCCATCTAATCTATTATTGGCAATAATTAAGGAATGGACCAAACGTACCGTGGCCGTTCTGGTAATGCATCTTCTCCTCATCAGAGTCCTGGAAGGCTTTGCTGTAGCCACAGTGTCTATACAAACCCACACACACACACACACACACACACACACACACAAAGGACAAAACACACACACACACACACACACACACACACACACACACACCAAACACACACACAGGCGCACACATAAACATACGGCGGGATGAATACAGGACAATAGTGACAGCAACATTTGCACTATCAAACTCTAACCACAGTTTATAATTGATAAATCAATAATTGTTCATTATGAATTATTGACTTCAGCAGAGCTATTCATCATTTAGTTATTTACCAGGAACAACCATTAAACCTGTTCACCCTGTTAATTAGGTTTTCTACAGGAAACAAGGTAGAGGGGGTCAGTTCAACCACGTCACAAAAAATTACATTTGTATTTGTTTGTTTGTTTGATTTGGGAGGGTAATTTGGATGAACCAACTCTTTAAATTATTTTGATCATGAGGTTCCCTTTATAATAATAATAATAATAATAATAATAATAATGTTGTCAAGTTTTGTTAAAATGATTAACATCAGTATTCATGTTAAGGGGGCACAATAAACACATCTCAGGAGGGCATTTAGGAGAATCGGGGCAAAGGGATTTAACGCCTCGTTCACACATGCAGATTAAAAAAAAAAAAGAATGTTATGTCTCTTTTCCCTAATGAGCCTGTAGCTTTCAGGCGTCTTTAGCACTGGGCAGGCGATACACATAATAAGCTCCAATTGGGCAGTTTCTTCCTGAGGTAGTTCATTTGTTGTTGTGTTTAACTTGCTTCCAGAAAAGCTTTTACAGTATGTTGAAAATGTATGAACAGTGCCAGACGAGCTACCATGAGTGATCTGCACTGTCATCCTGCAAACGTTCCCTGTACTAGCTTTGTTTGGTATCAGCAGTGTTGGGGAAACTGTAGCTAGTGAAGCTAAGCTACACTTCAGGGGAAGTATTATACAAACAGCTTTATGTTGAAAGTTCCAAGCTACACTACAAGCTGCTATAAATTTAGCTTAACACACTGAAGCTGAAGAGAAATGTAGCAAACGTAGCTACAGTAATGTGCCAAAAGTAACTTTAAAGGTGCTGTAGGTAAGCTATTTATATTTTCCTGAAAACAGGCCTGAACAAAAACAACCAATCAGATTCAAGATAGAGATAATTAATTGTTAAGTCTCATTCCCATGGTGTCAAATACACAACAGTGGCCTATCCCCACGCCTCGGAAATCCAAAGCGTCTTTCTATCTTTCTTGGCTCTGATTGGTTGTTTTTGTCCAGGCCCGGTGGATTCTTGCAAATGCCAATAAAACAGTAGAAGAAGCCACAGGAACCAGATTTTTTTTTCGTAGATTATCTGTCTGTGTACTACTGTCAGGATATAGTGAAAGTTTCAGCAAATATGACTAAACGTTATGTTTATAAAAGTTACCTACTGCAGCTTTAACTACATCAAAGCTGATTCTTTTTATTACAACCAACTTCATTCCAAGCCAATGCTATCTTGGTGATAAAAAAAATTCAAACAGACAATGAACCTTAATATCCTCCACCTGACTTGCAACAGTGTATGGTGTTCTACACTGTAGCATAATTAACAGAATACTCAGCAAGTAGTAGTAGTTATGGTTATAGTCCTCTAACTTTTTTTTGTTGTTTTAGCAATTCTTTTTAATCTCATTTAGTCTTTTCAGTTATTGTAAGCTATATAATTCAGCCATTAATCTATCTGTCTCTATGTCTATATATCTATATGTCCTTCTAATTTTGACTATATTTTGGTGACGCTACCACCACGCTAGTGAGAAATCTAATTAAATTGTTATTGTCATACTATACTTGTAGTGCTGCTACTGCCTAACACAATATATATTTTTGTTTTTCTTAAAACATTAAGTTTAAAGTTCCTTTATATTGGGAAGCAGCTCTGTGTTTGAGTTTCCTGTTGAAATCAGAACAAGTGCTATTGGCTGCAGATTTGACCCAAATTTGGGGTCGGCGACAGCACACACATTGAGGTTCAGTTCACATTGTGTGCATCCTGTCACACTCCGGTGTTTGAGTCTGTATGTGTGAACACTGGGTTAGGTTTATTTAGACTCTCTGGGTGTCACACTGTGTGACCAGTGCTATTGCCTTTCATCTCCTTACAAATATTTAAATCATTAAATGTCAATTTCAGCCTCATGTTAAAAAGGCACATTTTCTTCCTGTCTGTATAGTTACTTTAAAACCTGGCAAGGCTGGTGAGACCGTCCTTATGAACACTGTCCTTTCTACTTCATTTATCAGCTCATTCCAGCTAGCAGAGATTAAAGTGCACGCTATCAACAAAGTAAGACCAAGTGCTGCAGGTGACAGGAGTGTTGCTAAACACAAATTTACCAAGTTTTGGCAAATAGTCTCATAAAGTCATGAGATATAAAGACATACATACGTCTCCATGTTAGCTAGCCACAACTGTATCTTACCCAGAAAGATTAAAATATCATTTAGTCAGCATAGCAGAATCATTTAAAGTGATCAAGCATGAATTCATCTGCAGTGCTGTAAGGTGCTTTTTCATTATGATTCAGGGTTTCTTCCTGAGTAAACAGTAAAGCTGCCCCTGGTGGTTTCTGTCATCAGGAGTTGTTGACATTTCCTCATCAGTTTAATAGTGAGTTGGCCAGTGGCCCATCTCCCTCATTGTTAGTGTATTCCTTAGCATTTTAAGTAAATTAAGTAATTTCCCCACAGGGATTATTAAAGTGTTTCTGATTCTGATTTTAAATACTAAACTCTGCCATCAGAGAAGACTTTCTGTGTTGAACCTCCATCTTAGTAACATTGAGTAAACTGGACTTTGCAGTCATGACAACATGATTTTGCCTGGATAACATCTTTAAATCCTCCATTGATTTTTTTTAAATCCTCAAACAGAATGGAAATGGAAAACTTAATATGCATTGAAGTATGAATTAATTAAGTGCAATGAAATTAATTATTCGTGCACTACTACAGAAATGTAAGTTGAAGACATCAAAGAGAGGCACGGGGGCTGATGGGATAAGTGGGAACATTTGGCTTGCAAGCTACTGGACATGAATCAACATAATTAAATGCACTATGAGGTTGAAATTACGCGTTAGGATATTAGCTAAATAAGACAGTGAGGAGACAGGGAGGGTTGAGGAGATCAGAGAAGCTAAAGCATTAGCTTTCAAAACTCTACTCATCGTCCTTATTACAGATAGAAAAGCATGCAGATTATTTGTGCGCTCCGACATTTTGAACATTTCAACATGACAAGGTGGACTAAAGGTATTTTAGCTTCTCAAACACAGGCTTGAATGAGATCCCTTCAGGGGAGCTTCACTCAGATTTCAACCTTACTTGCAGCCAGTACATGTGGGGAAAAAGCAGGGAGAAATACAGTGCACACTGGGTTTTGATCACAAGCAACATTACACAAAGAGAGGCACGGTTAGAGTAGTGTAAGAAAGTGTTCCACACACAGCAGCGATGGGTAGTGTGGTAAAGTGTAGCCTTGCCGTTTCCTGCAGATGATGATGGCCAGGAAGGTGACCAAGCCAGACACCAGGGCCATGCAGATCCAAATGATGGTCATGGTGTTGTAGCGCAGAGGAGCTGAAAACACACAGAAGCAACGTGTTAGCTGAGGAAAAGGTGGCACCAACGGTCGGGAGTTTGCAGCTCACACTAACACACACACAAGCAAACACAGAAGGCAGGTATAGTGTTCTTGGCCAAACAAGATAAACAAGAATTTGGAGCTTCATTAAAGAGCTCAGCGTTTTCTAATTAGCTCCTGTTTGCATTCTGAGAGTTTATTCATGGCTTTATGGGTAGGAAATATTCAGCTAATGTTGTCAGCTATTTTGAAAGACTGAATTTTGTCCCAGACTTATAAGTGGTTAAGCCTCTACCGATAAGTATACTATTATGAAAAACCTACATGGACGTGAGAGATATACTGCATGACAAAAACATTACCATGCTTTTGCTATCAAGCTGCAAAAAGTTAGTCTGTTTTAGGCTCAATGTTATACACACATCAAAACTGCTAATACAGTAACTGCACATAACAAAGGAACTATGGATAATGTAATTGTAAAATGACATAAAAACTGAGTATGTAATAACCTGCCTCTAATTCAATAAGACTGTTTAGCTTGATTGTTAGTGTATTATACCTGTGGCAGTTTATTTAAATGAAAAATGCAGTAACTTAACATACATTATAATAAGTGTGTCATGGATAAATTTAAGCATTCCAACCAGCTCTGCAGACACCTGGGTTCAGTTCCTAGAAGTAGGACATCCAGCTTGGCTAGGCATTGTAAGCAACACAACTGGCACCACTGGTGAGTGGGAAGCCAGTGGGGGATGATTCACTTACTACATGCAAAATTGCTCGCTTCACTTTCCCCTTCCAATGGCGAAGGAGAAACTACGGTGGTTTCGACAACTGTGTTGGAATGACAGCTTTGTATTTTCCCACTGAATACACTGTAAAGACCTAAAAGCCACTGAAAGTAGCCTGATTCCAGACCTGTGACTTGTCACACACATCTGCTTTTAGTGATTTATATACTTTAGGTTTGTGTTGTAGCCAGATAAATATCTGACCTAATCAGAGGTTTGTACCTAGTAGAATTAAAGCTTTAAGCTTTAAGAATGAGGTAATTTTTCTGTGGTTAGGTTAGAATCCATTACAAAAAATGTGCCAAATTTCAGGGGAATTCATTTTAAGGTTGTTGAGATATTTCTAGACCAAAGTTTCTGAGACTGCCATCCTTGAGCCCCACTGCTAGTATTGCTAACAAAAACTATTTTCATGATTTGATTATCAGGGTACACAAATGCTGAGAAATGACCTTAATGTTTGTAGTTGGGAAACGGACATGACAAAAAAAGGCTCCTCAGCCTGTTTTTCATAAAGTTTAGGACGTATTGATTACTCAGCATGTAGGCTAGTGGGATGTGTACAGCCCTCTTGTTTTCAGAGTCTGGAAATGAATCAGTATCAAGAGGAGGAGAGTCGGGGTCCAGTGAGCAGCAGAATGAAGGGAGACTATTAGTCAATGAAACAGCACTGGGACTCCAACCAGGCGGGAGGCTTGGCTTTGCAGACCTAGAGTCTGCTCTGCACGTTATCTGCCCAAACGCCTATTAGGAAAGAAAAATGTTCTAATAAAAGGTTGTTTTTTTTGTGATTCCTAACTTTTAGAGTTGTACTTGTCTCAGGTGGACAGACTCATGAAGACTTGTACCCCACCCAGTGCTGTGTACAGCTGTTTGAAGCCGGGATAGGCTGCAGTTTTGCTGACAGGGGTGACCCTCTAACAAAGCGCAGATCAATGGAACAGAGGGATGGACTGAGGCGGTTATCGGCCTCACTGACACCAAAGCCTCTTTAGCTCTGGACCATGCAGTCTGGCCTGTCTTTGAGAAGCTTTCTCTGCCAAATCTTTTTACACAACAAACTGTTTTATTTACTGGACTTTTTCCACTGTGTTAAACAACATACAACTAGCTAAGGGTTTCCTGTGGCTCAGGGCAGACAGGAGGTTTTAAGCAGCAATTCAGTGATACAGCATGCCCTCTTTCTGTTTCTTAGACCCTCACACACACACCTGCTTTCCCAGTCTGGATTTCCACGTTCTGGCTGAAGCGTCCGCAGCCTGCTGACGTTCTGGCTCGGACCTGAAAGATGTACTTGGTGCCCGGCTTTAGCCCTGACACTCGGGCACTGGTATTTTTAGACTTCAGAGTGGAGTAACTGTGCTCTTCATTGTCCTGCAAGAGAAAAGGCCATGTTTAAAGATTAGATCTGAGAAAATTGCCATGCTGGTGAGCTTATGCACTCTGTATGAAAACAGAAGCTCTGCTGCTCCATATGAACACGTTATAGTAGATGATTTACAATAAATTGCTCGACTTATAGAGTTAACACCTCAAAATATTAACTCAATACATCAGATACAGCCAGGTTTATTGTTGGTTACACTTGGCCACTTGGAGGCAGCGGGAATTTGTGAATACAACGTTGTCATGGCAGCTGCCCATTGTTTCGAAACCCCAATAGTCCAAAAAAAATGTCCCATTGGACCCAACAAAACCTTTTCCCAAAATACACATTCTCCCTGGAGTTTTGGATGTGTAGGAAAGGACGAAGTCAGGTGACCTTCATCATCATGGTAGCAATAATAGACACATGGTTAACATTGTGGAACGGTCATAGTTTGGTTAGGTTTAGGCACCAAAACTACTTAAGGAAATGATCATGGTTTAGGTAAAATAAGTAACGTTAAATTGTGTACGTAAGTTGGTGATACCGGAGTGTGCATTTATGGCTGCTGGACAAATGGGCTTTCAGTCCGTTGGGACATTTGTTGTTCTATGAGGTTTCAGAAAAATGGGCCGTTGGAGCAATGGCATAGCACCGTTGACATGTCATCACCTTTTGGAGAAAGTGTTAGCAAACAGACAAATTTACCTACACACCTAGGATTAGCATTAGCATTCATTTGGAGTTGTGTTTCTGAAGTCCAATATTCATTCTAGTTTTGCTATTTTTAGACTCTACTGGAGGGAAATAGCTGCTAAATGCCCCACTATGTTCATCGCTGTCTGTCTGCTGTTGGGTGCTGAGCAGGCAGTGTACAGTGGGTTTTTAGAGGTTTTTCATTGAACACGACGTTACGAGAGCAGTGAGAGTGAACCAGAACAGTAAAGTTGTGGCTGGACAGTTAAACAATGAGCTCAAACGCACTATAAGGCTCTTTAAAGTGAAGGGGGGCTGCAGATTCAGCTGATAATTCTCTGCATTCATCACTGCCAGTGAACCCATTCACATTGTCACATTGTTTTGTTATTTGATACACTGTCATTTTAGAATTATAGCTGCTTTAATGTGAGAAACCATGTGTGAATGCACCGTCGTGTTTAGTGTTGGATAGGAAGATTTGATTTGAAATTTGTCAACTGTGTGAGATTTTGTTGTTAATACCTCTGGCTGTATTACCATAGAACATTGTGGGTAATGCTGCAGACCAATGAGCAGGACTGCATTATGTCAGTATTGGATTTTTATGTGATTATTACATCATGAGATGAAGGAACTTGATCCATCAGCAGGGGTTAAATAGGGCCAGAGCCTGCCGGAGCTGAGCCCTTGCTCCTCAGTAATATCCAGGGCTGCCAACTCTGACACTCTTGGCACCCGCTTTCAGGCTTTGTCTCACACTCTTACGCCACCCAAATAAATGTCACGCCAAATAAGAGCAAGCCACTACTTGATACAAAAATATAGTTTTAATGTGATTAAAGCAGATTTTAACTTCGATCAATAGTCTTACCACCACCATCGTTCACATAACCGAATGTGATCTGGAGTTTTGCAGGAACATTAATACTGATGTTGTGTTTGGTGGGGCACTTGCCCACAATTAATTATCGAACTTAGGCTCTTTTCCTTTCAGTGCAGTCATCACACAGCAGCAAGATTGATACGTGCGCCTCCAAATTAAGAGGGGTGCTGTGCACATTTTACACAAGTGGCACAGCTTTGTTAAATGTATTATTTATTTAAATCTCCTGATACAGCGTCAGGATCAGGAGCTGTTACACACAGATGTTTAATAGTGAAATTGTGGAGAATAAAGCAGCAGTTCTCTGGATGAGTCCATTATGTTTACAGTCCTTTACTAAATTCATGGCAAACCAATATTTTGTCATCATGCAATAACAAGAGGTGCGCTGCACTTTTGTGCATTTGTTGCAGAATTTAATGAGAAACTTGGTCAGGATCTTAGTTGCTCATTGTCTGTGGCAGGGAGGCAACTACAGTGATCAAACCTCTTTCCAGAGGTTTTAGTTCACATTTACGGCAGTTAACGATTACATAAAAAATTGACATTTTTAATATAAAATGTGTAAAGAAATAGATAAAACATAAATATAAATATAAAACTTACATTTACGTTTAAATTTTTTATTGAATGTATTATAGTATAATTGTTTTAGGAATTATTCATGACTAATATTTATAAAAAGGAACATTAAAAAAAGTTCCCCAAAGTATGCCTACAGGTAGGCTACATGTACCCCCATTTGAGAAACACCAGTCTGGAGAATCTATGTTTTTTTTTTTTTTGTCATGTAAGCATGTGAATACAGTGAGTTGTCTTTTATTACTTGTCAATATTATGCAATACTACTGCAGTAGTAGCATTGCTTCGCACATGAAGATTTACATAAACTAAACAACCTGATTGTTCAAATAAATAACAACAAAGACAAAACAATCCCATTTTATCGTATACTGTAAATGAGATGTTTTTGGTTAGTTGTACACAGACACATCTATTTTATGCATGGACGGGAGTTTCATTGTTTATTAATAATTAATGAATTAAAAAAAATATGTAATATTGAATACACAGTGTGTTCAATAATACATCAGTTAATATTTGCGCTTTGTCAGGTTTAAATAATAATTTAAAGTTATTTTATTATAAACTATTTCTCACCACAGTTTATAGTCCACTTCGAGTCATTTAATGTGCTATGGCCCATTAGCTCAATACAAAGCAAATATGGACAGTATGTCTTTAAAATGGTATTCCATGTTTGTATTTTGGTTTAAATAAACCGCAGCATTTGGCTACAATGTGATTAAGACAATCTAACATTTAGCTTTAGAGCAGCTGCAAATGATCAACTGGGGAAACATTCATACTTCGCTGTCACATTTGACCAAAATTTAAAATGTCGGTGTTCCAACAGCAACAGAGAGTATTTTCAACGTGCTTGTACTCTTTAAGTGCATGAATAGTCCAAATTCACTGCCACTAACAACAGTGCTATCAGTTGAATGCTTATGGTGCAACGACCATTTTTAACACCCACAATGCAGCGCCATTGTTTTAGGAGATTTTTTGAAATTATATCAGCATCTTGAAACACAGAGAGAAAGGGCATATCAAGGCAGATCTTAAAATTATCATAAATGAATACAACCTTGTCTGCCAGTCAAATGTAATTGGCGGATAATTAGCTCAGACATCTTTTGATCTGCTTCTATCAACCAGAATAATGAGAGGTACTTTGACGAGTGTTTGTCTTATTTTTATGTTTCCTTTCAGATAATAGCTTCATTCATGATGCATCATTTGTTCAGATGTAAATTACGGCTGTCTGCCATGCAAAGTTTTTTCTTTTTATGTACACAGTCATCAGAAAGGGGATGCTTTTCTTGTTTTGAAGAAACGTGTTCTTTTTTTTGGAAGTCTGGATTAACGATAAAGTTCATCGTTATCATCATCATCACCTTGTTTCCATCTGCCTGCCGCAGCATCTTTGCAAGCTGAATTCAGAGATACTTTATAAGTACGGAGGTAAAATAAGTTCAACCATAATAAGAGGTGCGAGGTGCATACAAACAGCAGAATAAGTGAATCATTCATGTGTCCTTAGAAAGGATAAGAGCCTAATTATGAAGAAGTGCTAGGTGCAGAAATAAGAGCCTTTTTTTGTCTTCATTATCATCCTCAGCTAGTGTGCTGCTGCAGCGGCCGCCACCCTCGCTGTGACTCATTGTTGTTTAGTACAGTAGTATAGAAACCTTGAGAAAGCACATTGCTGACTTGTCCACTTGAAATCCCCCACAGGCGTCTCGCCCCCCTGAGCGAGGCCAGATTAAGACACCAGCGCAAGAGACGAGCTAATCCTTCAGCACTCCCCACACCATCCTGCTTGTTTGGCTATGAGACTGTCTGTTCCCAGGCTGCTCCCTCTGCAATTAGCTGATTTCTATCATCTCACACACACACACACACACACACACACACACACATCTACTCACCCAAACACACACAGACGTGCACATTCACGCACTCGCAGCAATTAGCTCGTCGTGAGGCTTATGCGCCTGCCAGCCGCTTGCTGTCACTGTCACTTTTGCAAAGTTGGAATCCACACCGTCTCATCCTCCTTCTTGCTCTCCCTCTCTCGACCCCCATTTCCTTTCAATTAGCTGAGCTGCCAGCAGGATCTTTTTCTTGGATTAAGTTATCCAGAGTCTATCCAGCCGCCACTCCTCCGAATTCGCAATATCTTGGCTCAGCTTAGTTGCAGCCCTTTGAAGACAATGAGCTTATGTTCTCCAGGTAGAGCGGAGACTTTTCTTCCTCTCGTAAGTGCCTCAATAGTTTCATGTTAGATGTTTTTTGGAAAATAAACAGAATATGTTGACACAACCCTAAAACAAACTGCAGTGTTTGTATTTGTTTGCTTTTTAAGTGGGCAGTTAGTTGAGTACCTTCTCATAGTATTTGATGTCATACTCCAGGATTACTCCGTTGGGCTGGTTGGGTTCATGCCACAGCAGAGTCACGCTGTTCTGGCTGGTGTTCTCCTGGCGGATCGCTAACACTTCAGAGGGGGCTGCACAAGAAACGGGAGAGATTACTGCTTTGTCAGTTCAAGATTTGGTTCTTCAATGACTACAAAATAAGGTCACAAGATTACCCTGCAGTAAACTCCTGTTTGACTCCTGCATTTACTGAAGCTCTCACAGCGAGAATGATGAAATGATTTATTGTATACAAATTCGTCAAAACTAAATGACTACTCATGCAGTTTTTCTGATCTCAAGCCTCAATTGGCAGCACAACATTGTTTGTCAGTGCCTTCCAAAACTGTTAACGCATGATCGGCCTCCACTGTGGTTGATATTTGGTTAAGGTGAGGCATGAAAACCTGGTTAAGGTAAGGGAAAGGTTGTGGTTATGGTCAAAACCAACCAGTGTTGAGAGAGAAAACAGTCATCATTTACTGGGCCACAAGAGGTCCTTGTCAGGTAAACATTTGATGGATTTGAACAAATGGTCAAAATATCATTTTTCTTAGGAGAGTCTCTTCAGTGCCGGATGCAGACGGTGGAACACTGTGGAGCGGTCTTAACATAAATTAGACTGCAGCAGTGTGAAAATACAGTGAGATCACAAATGAAAAGAGGAATTAATTGGTACAAAAGTCTGGCAAAGTCAGTAACCCCATTTTTGAGTACAGCACTTCGTACATTACGGTCACAGAGAGTTCCCCACGGAAAACTCAGGGGAACTCTTTAACATCAAAGGTACTTTTATGATCCCACAAATGTCCAGAAAGATAAACTGTTGCCTGAGGCAAAACCAACATTTCAATCCAATATTTCCAGAGACTGCGCCAGTCACTGATAGTAAAAGGTATGATATAATCTTTGTGCTATTTACTATTACTATTTGCTATTTTGACTATTTTATTTACTGGTGTCAATGAACTCCCGCCCTTTTCTATTCTACTCTAAGGTCTATTGCAAACGTCATACCACCAAGTCAATTACCATGGGTGGTACTACCTTTGATGGCAGGCCATATTGGGAGTCTTTGACCAAAAATTAACCCAAATTTGCAAATCCAAAACTCCCTAATCCAACTGTCTATCAATCTTCTGATTTATTGGTTGTTTTTATTATATCAGCGTATTCAAACTTTTGGGAACTTTTCTACATCAAGGTAGCAGGAGGGACAGAAATAAGCTGTTCTAGAAAAATACTTTTAAAAGTTAGAAATTGTGCAGGTGAGACTTAATGAGTGTCAACAAATCAATGGCAGGGTTATTACAACCGATTACTGCAACACTAATCAGAATGCAGATAAAGTCGGTATTATTTGTTCTGTTTATGTAGCACAGAAGCGTCAGAGTTGGACATAAGTACTGTTTGCTGACAGACTCCAACAAGTCCTTCGTGCGTGAGCCATAACCTGCTTTTCATTATCAGCACAAAATGTTGTTGAGACAGCACATTTCTTTCAAAGATTGTTATTTTGGCACTTTTGCTCAATTTGACAGTAAGAGTGAGACAGCAAAAGGTGAATGAGAAAGATGTGTGATGAAGGGCCAAGGCTGGATTCAAACCTAAAATGATTTGGCTGCCACCAACATGCCCAAGGGCAAAGTTTTATTTTTCAAAGATTATTTTTGTGGCTTTTGTCTTCTTATGGATGGTTTACAGTGAATGATTTGAACCCAGGACATCACAGTTACATGGTATGCACATCAGAGTGACCACATCCTTTATTATTCAGCCTTTGTCCTGTCTAAAGTCTTTAGGCATTTTTCCATTACAGGAACCAATGACCCATAACCTGAACCTCTAAAAACCTGGCTTCGGTGCTACGGTGCTAGGTTCTGCCTTGCATTTCTGTGTTTTGCAAACTGGAACTTTTCCAATACAAGTTGTGTTTAGTTTTGCCGAATGCAGTTGTGGGACAGACAGGAATGGAAAAAGTGGCTCTGATAATGACTTTCTTTCAGGTTTACAAGTAATGACTTTTGAACGTCAGCATCATTAAATTAATGGAAGGGCCCCAAGTGCAGTAGGAGGTCGACAGAAAAAGAACCGAGGACAGTGGATACACATTAAGTTACGGGTTGTTAAGTTCTATAGTGGAAAAAGGCCTGTGCCATGAACCAAAGCCTTCGTAATGAGAAACTGTATGTCATTGTGCCGAACCCTACCTGCCTGGTTCGTTGTGATGTTGACCAAGGCGTAAGGTGACGGCTCGTTGCTCAGGTGTGTTACTGCGTTCATAGCCAGGATGCGGAAGGAGTAGTTGGTGTGAGCCACCAGGTTGAGCACCGTCACCCAGGGCTCTGTCAACCCGGTCTGGCGGGGAACAAATCGAACAGCTGCATTGCCCGAGCGCTCCACCATCCCTCCTCCCATGGACCCGATACTCGCCCCTGCCTTTCCTCCACCAGCACCTCCTGGGTAGGATGCGCAGTTCTCGCAGGGCCTTCCTTCCCCTGAGCATTTCAGACACAACACGCTGTACTGCAGGTCGCTGCGACCTCCAGTATCCAGAGGGCGATCCCACTCTAAATTCACAGACGTCCCATTGACCGAGGAGATGACGCTTACTGGAGCAGATGGAGGGCCTGGAGAAAAGAAAGACGTAGGTTTGAGTTCATTCACAGGTTTGATCGCTGTCTAAAAAAGAAAATTGGATTTTTGAGGCATAGATAAATCCGGCACATCATTCCGTAGTTGTTGTGTGTTGTTGGGGTGTGCGTTCTCGCCCATGGGCTTAGGTGATCTTGTGTACCGCATGTTTGTGCTTACGGGAGCATGGAGCCGCTGGTGGGTCATCTGCCGCCCGATAGTAGTTGGAATCGCAGGGGCAGGAGAGGGCAGCTCTGGTCTCTGAGTGGCTGTGCTGAGGACATTTACCACACAGGCCATCGCCCGCCACTGGCTTATAGAAACCCACCTCACAGGCTGCGAGAGAGAGAGAGAGAGAGAGAGAGAGAGAGAGAGAGAGAGAGAGAGAGAATAAATAGAGTAAATAGAGAGCTTGCAGGGAAGGGCTCTGCACTCCCATAATCACTCAGACCATGATAAAATTGAGAGAGAGTGCAGCTAGAGAGGCATGAATCGCACTCCTATAGCGAGCTGTGCATATCAACGCAGCTTCAACTTTTTCAAAACTGTGTCATCTCCTCCAAAGCATTCATTTTAGGACATATCCCCTCCACTCCTCGCCCCCCTCCTCCAAATCTATGTATAATTACAGGCCTTGTAACCGTAGAGACCGCAGAGCAGGGGAGATGAAAGTCATACTTCTTTCTGCTCAGATTTGGGCTGAAAAGGCTCTGCACTGTTGATACTCCCAGTGAGACCCTCAGAATCCAGACCGTGTTTCAACCTTATTCAGCTCCTCTGATACATATTCACTTTTAACTCTGCACTGATTAATAATGGAGGGGGCTCTGATAAATATATTCTCTTTCCGAGCGGTTAATAGGCTTCTGCTATGGTAAATGGGGCAGGGGTAAATCTCGCACACGCTCAGAAAGCAGCAGTCGACAACGGCGCGCTCGTGTTTGCTCCTCCTCACAGGGTAATTTATGCTTCGCCAGAATGCTGAGTGTTAGTTTACAGATGCAGTGTTTTTCTAACCTTTCCTTGTTAAGTTTATAGAGGACCATTTTAGGTGCTTAAACTTCAAAGGTGCTGAAAGAAGAATGAAATTGGATAACCAACATGAGTGAAATTATAACAAAGTGAATAGTTAGAATGTATTCTGGATTACTGGCTGAGACATTTGTAGATGCAATCGAAAAAGAATAAAAACCTTCCTGTGCTCGTACCTGAAAAGTACACATGCAAATATTCACCATGGAGGTGCGGAAACACACACAAACACACACACACACACACACACACACACACACACACACACACACACACACACCCTGGATGTGCAATTCAACCATGTGATTAGATTTTATGATATCCTGCATAATGGTGTTTAATTTGTTAGGCTGAATTCTTCACAGCCATTTTATTTTCAGCTAATTGTTCATTTGAACACGCTGCAGTTATTTCCCTCATGAAGCATTTTTTTAAATGAAAAATGTGACTATTTAAACCATAAAGTGTGTGAAGCTTCACTTTATCCTTGAAAGGTCTGCCTCCACTGAGCGGAAAAGTCGCTACTTTATAATCCTGTACGTGCTCCCTCACAGGCTTCCCACCCACAAACACAAGCAGCTGTATTTATTGGAGTGTCCAGCCTGAGTAGCACTGCCAGCAGTCAGACCCTGGTGTCTGTGGCAGTGGGAAGTCATCCCACATTATGCATAAGATCTGACAGGCACATACAGTTGAAATAGAAAATGAAAAAGGAAGAAAAACAACGTGGGTGATAAAAACGCTGCATCGGTTGCCTCCAAAATGAAAATAAAGAAAGCAAACATGAATTTCTTTCCAGGTTTCAGTTGGCCTGTTTTTATTAGACGCTGTGGGGAAAAAATAAAACAAGTGAACTATCTCCTCATCTGTGCAAACTGAAACAAACTAAATTCAGAATAGAAAACGTTTTAAATGGATTACTTAGAAAATACAAAGGTGCTTGGTCTTTAATATTTATTTTTCTTTTGCATAAAGACAAGCAAACATGGACAGAGCCAGTAGAGACAAACTGTCTGGGCCTCCTGAATATCTCTGAGCATGATCTTTAAATATTTCATACTTTCCAAAGCTTTTGGCACCTTTTTGTGTTACACCCTCCTTCCACACTTCCTGTGGTCAAACATCCCTGTCACAGCTTTTCTTTGGGATGTGACACAACTGGAAGCCACCACAAGCTGACAGATATAAGTCACACCAACAGGCTGAGATAGGCCATGATGCCATCAGTTTTCATCTGGAAGGCAAATTCTGTTTCATATTTTATCAGCTACAGTGTTCAACTGCTCTGCAAACCTCGTTGTATACATAAAACTATTCAATTTACAGTGTATTTACACAACCCTTTACATTTGACTTAAAAATAATTACTCAGTACTTCACTGGCAGTTTTTTGGGATTGTTGCAGCGGAGAATTTCTGATTTCACAGCAACTTTTCTAAAAAGTTCCATACCATGTTGTTATGTTTTCAGCCTTTTTTTTTTGCTAAATAAATTTTAAAAATCGTTGCGAATATTATCTTTTTCAAGGAATCAATCAATCAAGAAAATGTATTAATCATAATATAACACAAGGTTGTATAAGTTCATTCATGTTACTCATAAAAAAGATAAATTCATAGAATAACATAGAAGATAGATAAAGTAGAACAGAAATAAAAGAAGTCAATATATACAGTTATTTATATACATATATACATTTATACCCAGGAAATAATTCTGCCTGCAGTGCATCTTTTAAATTTGCATCTGAGGGGATGTAAACAGCAGCAACAAGATAGTGATTGTATAAATTCATATATAAATACATTATATAAGTTCATTAACAATTAATTTAAAATCAAATGCTACTTGTTCCAGTGAGAATAAAATCACACTCTTTGGAGGGGAAATGCGAGACCTTTGCGTTGCACATGTTTGTATCGTCACAACTAAAAACAAGGAAGTGAGTTTGGTGACACATGGCTCAATGTTTGCGCAGGAAGTACAATGATTGATCGTATTTGCAGAAAAGTTGGGGTGACTGGACAAAATTGAGGGACTGTAACCAACTGGTCGAGACAGACGACCACCCACCCAGAGCCGAAGGGTCTGTCCTAGGTTTCTGCCTTTTAACAGGCAGTTTTTCCTTGCCCTTGTCTCCAAGTGCTTGCTCATGGTGGTACTGTTGGGTCTCTGTAAATAATGTTATAAAGAGTTTGGTCTAGACCTGCTCTATTTGAAAAGTGTCCTGAGATAACTTCTGTTATGAATTGGTGCTATACAAATAAAATTGAGCTAAATTGAATTGAATTGAATTAACCCCCTCTCAATGTATAAATGTGTTTTTATTATGGAAACTCTAGAAAACTGACTACCAGTTGTTTTAAATGGAGAGTTTGGTATATTATTATTATTCTATTAATTATGTGAAAAAGAGTGGGTGAGCACAATATTTTACATTACAAAGAGCTGAAGCCCCAGTTCCAATGACAAATAAATGCAATACAAGAATATAAAATAGAACAAAGTCTTACTTTTCATCTGCAGTAAATAAGATGAGTAAGGCTTTAATGCAACAGTGCATGCACAACAGGGCCTCCCCTCATTAGCTAGGTTTCATAATTCAAACTCCATCACTAATGATTCATCATTTAATGTGCCATGACTTCTTAGGGTAGTCAGTGCTACTTCTGGAAATGTTTCTCTCTGCCTGTCCTTCCTGCTGACGACACATGCTGTCATTAAGAGCCACAGAGGAACATGCAGATGTGGAAGAAGAAAGGAGAGACCGAGAGAGATGCTCTGCTCTTTGTTGTGTGTTTGTCATATGAATGCTGTCGCTCCTCATGCAAGCTATCAGCTAGTGGGAATACATCATCAATGTTACAAAAGACTACCTAAGAAACCAAGGGCACACTTTTTATGGTGATTACAGGCATGTGACTAATTTATTAGTATTTTCGATTGACATTGTGGATTTGCAGTTTGAGGACACAAACCAGAGCTGAGAACACTGAGCTCGAGCAGGGCGAACCAGTAGGTATAAGGTGAGGAAGAGCTGGGAGTAGCTTGCAGAAAATAAATTACCAGCACAGCTTCCTTCAACTGTTTATCCCGCGTTGAGCCAAAACTGTCAGACATCAGGTGGATTTGACTACAAATCTAAAGGGACCAGCAGTGTTTGTAGTGCACGTTACAGCTACTACAGTTTCTTCAGGAGGGCCACCCAGTTAAATCTTTGCTAAAGTGCTGGAAAAATAGATAGATCTCAGTGTGCGTTTCCATGTCCATGGTATCTGAGAAAAAGTTGATTCTGAAGCATGAAGCAAACATGGATCACGACTGTACTGTATATAAATAACCGATGTCTTAAAAGAAACCTTCCTCCATGCAATACACTTCCTAAATGACTGTTAGCATTAGCACTGGCGTCAACAGAACATACAGAAACAAGCAAACAATTTTTTCTGACTTAGCTGTGTTCATACATTTATCTACTTCTGTACAAGGATTCTTTTTAACATGCAGGCATGAGACACACTGTGTTTGTTTGACCTCTACTTTTAAATGTTACATTGTTTGTACAGATTGAACAGTGTTTTTTCCCTCTGAGCTGTGGTAACTGATTAGAACTGAGTGTAACTAAAACTTAGCTGGTGGATGGTGGGGAGGCCTGAGTTATCTCCGTATTTTTTAGACAAAGGATTTCACACTGGTTCATTGAACATTTTTGATTAAAAACCCACTCTGGAAAACCGTTGTATTCAATGCAAATCGTTCTTACATGTGTTAAAATGCGTCTGGCAGGCGCTTGAAATGGCCCCTGCGATAATGCAAAATTCTATACAGCATTTAATTTCACTATCTACATCACCACATGCTAAAGCTGAAAGTAGTGTCAAACTGGTGTAAATGCTGTAATCTTTAAGCAACATTATGTACATTATGTACTAATTGATTTGCATTACATTTCCAAGGGTTGAAGCTGTAGCATTTAAAGCTGTTCAAATTATAACTTTACCTCAAAATGTGCAACATATTACATAAACACACCCACACATGCACCTGCGTAAGTGCTGATAATGTAAAACACAGAGCAGATGCTCAGATATGTAACACACACACACACACACACACACACACACACACACACACACACACAGTACATACAGTATGTGTAGCACTATAGATAAACAGACTAGGGGCGATAGTGCTCTTTTCTTTCACTGTCAGGGCCCCCACAGGCGCCAGAAACTATTTCTATTTGAGATATTTATCCCAGACTGTTTTCTCTTCTTACTTTTTTTCATCCCGTTAATCCCTCC